TGAAGTTATTTTCTTGTTTTTCTTTTGTTGTATGGAATCCCAACCGACCGACAGGAGGCCCAGGGGAACGGCCGTGATCAACCTGGTGCAAGTGTGTTGAAGGAGTCTTCTCTCGACCACGGTTGTCGTACTCTGGCACACGATCAGGAACGTTGCAAACACTGTCTGTCGTGTCTGCCTCAACGACCTGAAAGGAGAAGCGGTCATTGAAAATGAAGTGAAGTAACTTTGGAAACAGATGACCTATTAGCTTCAAAATGCACTTAGTTTCAAAATTCTACATCATGTGCTATTTTAAGTTTTAGCATTGTGTTAGCTGTTAATACAAGCGTGGAAATTTGAACATTTCTATAAATTGTGTTGACTGCAATTTTTTTCTATATATGGTGTTTTTTTATGAAATTTAAAACAAAGTCGCTGACGTGTATTTGTCTATGCATGCTTTTGCTGGTTCGGTCGATGGTGATGGCATCTATGAATCAGTTCTTTTAAAAAAATGCTGGTTTGCGTTGCAGGTAACGAAGAAATTAAGCGTGGAATACTGCTGATGTTATTTGGAGGAGTGCGCAAAGTGACGACGGAAGGGACCAGTCTTAGAGGAGACATCAACGTGTGTATCATTGGCGATCCGAGCACTGCCAAGAGCCAGTTCTTAAAGTCTGATGCATATAATTGCTTCTTCACCTCATGTTTCTGACGTTTTAGGCAGGTCGAAGAGTTTTGCCCACGTTCAGTCTATACAAGCGGTAAGGCCAGCAGTGCAGCCGGTTTGACCGCTGCCGTAGTGAAAGACGAGGAGTCGTTCGAGTTTGTCATCGAAGCGGGTGCTTTAATGTTAGCAGATAATGTATTTTGTCCTTTTTGTTTAGAATTTGCTTACCCTGTGCTTCTTCTCATTCTTTTAGGGTGTGTGCTGTATTGACGAATTTGACAAAATGGACCTCAAGGACCAGGTGGCTATTCACGAGGCGATGGAACAACAGACAATATCGATAGCAAAAGCAGGAGTCAAGGTCAGCACATAACTGCTTTTTGTTTAATTGATGGTCACGATAGTCAGAGTTTACGCTTATTCTAGGCTACTCTAAATGCGCGAACTTCGATCCTTGCAGCGGCGAATCCGGTCGGCGGAAGGTACGACCAGTCCAAGTCCCTGCTTCAGAACATTAGCTTGTCTGCACCGCTCATGTCCCGATTCGACCTGTTCTTCATTCTTCTCGACCAGTGTAACGAGGTCGGTATTCGCTATTTGACCCTGTAATACATTTTTCCTAAAATAGTTCCTACACCCCAAATCTGTGTAATATTGTATTACAGTCTTTCTGTCTATGAATAGGTGGCAGATTATGCCATAGCCAGGCGTATTTTGGACGTGCATCGAACGAACGTCGAAAATCTGGACCGCGTTTACACGGTGGATGAGATTCAACGTTACATTCTTTTCTGTAGGCTTTGGAACCCCAAGGCAAGTACAACGTTTTGCGATTAGTTTTATGACTTAAAGCTTATGTTAGACGTCGCATAATTTAGCTTACGCCAGAAGCTGCCGATTGCCTTGTAGCAAGCTACAAACGTCTCCGTCTACGTGACAGCAGCGGTGCAGCGTGGTCTTCTTGGCGAGTGACCGTTAGGCAGTTGGAATCCATGATCAGGCTTTCTGAAGCGGTGGCTCGGATGTACTGTTGCGCAGACGTAAGCTGAACTGTTGTTGTTATAATATATTTAAAAATTTGATTTTTAAAAAATACTGCGGATTTAATGCATTCTTTTTTCAGCAGAATTAATATCTTGGCAAGCGTGTTGTTTTAAATGTGCAAATCATTGCTCCAGTATGATCAGTAGAAATTTGATGAATAAAATTGCACATGGCAGCCGTGGCCCCATTTACACCGT